GAATTCCTGGTGCCATCATAGAACTTTCTGCAGACTAGGTGTTTGGGTGGTCAGAGGGTCAGACTGATTTGGGAGTAGCAGGTAAGGACTCTGGGATAGAAGATGGTCTTTCTGCTTTGGAAGAGAAGCATGGTCCTGTGCTGTGGCTTAGGGATGAGCTGGCAGTGGGTAGTGGATAGGGGGCCTCAGCTGGGAGGCCGGGCTGCTCTGACTGAGCCAGGGCCACAGTAGCTGCTCAAGCAGAAAGGATTTGTGGGTACCAGAGCTCTGGCAGGTGCACATTTATTAGGCCAGAGCAATATCCAGCCACAGGCACTGCTCTCTCTAGAGCTGCTGCTAGCCAGGGAGGGCAAATCACTGGGCAGTGGAAGGCAGGTGTAGCTCCCAGCCTAATGGCAGCCAGAAAAGAAGCTACAGGAGGATACAGATTTGTTGTGGAAGAGGTGGAGGCCTGAAACCCCAAGGACTGAGAATCCTGCCCTCAATTTCTGATTGACTAAAGTAGCTTTTTTCATTGGTGGAGGAAGGCTCCTTCCTCAGCCTCCTGAGTAGCTGGGATTACAGGCATGCGCCACCCAGCCTGGCTAATTTTTGTATTTTTGGTAGAGACGGGGTTTCGCCATGTTGGCCTGACTGGTCTGGAACTCCTAACCTCAGATGATCCACCCGCCTCGGCCTCCCAAAGTGCTGGGATTACAGATGTGACCCACTGTGCTTGGCCTCATTTGTTATTTTTAATAAGCATTGAGACCTAATTGGGGCATCCTTGATGTTTTCACCGAGAACCATTTATCCAGAACAAGACCTGAGCACTTTGACTAGAAGTATTCAGAATATGCTCTGAATGGAAGCTTCATTAATTCCAAATGAGCAAAGAATTTGAGCAGTCATCTGTGACCATGGCCAAGGATGGCTTAAGGGAATTTGGCTCCACCCCTCATCTCCAATGGCCCCTTAAATCCAGCTTCCCAAGATTAAGAAGCCTGTGTAAAGGGAATAAAAATACCTTCATAAAACTGTGGTTTTCATTGATCTGGGGGAAAAAACACACACACATACTAACAGTGTGCTTACAGTGCAAACACAGCTTCCAGTAAAGCTTCTGGCCCTCCCCTCCTCCCCCTTACTAATCCCCTCAAGCTGATTGAGGCCCCAACTGGTCTCTTTTAAATTGTTCATCCAATAGGCTCATTGTTCCTGAGCAGTTCTTGTGAAAACAAAAGGTTTGCTTTTTCTTTTCTTTTTTTCTTTTTATTTTTTAAGACAGTCTCACTGTGTTGCCATGGGCTCAATGCAACCTCTGCCTCCCGGGTTCAAGCAATTCTCATGCTTCAGCCTTCTGAGTAGCTGGGATTACAGGCATTGGCCACCACACCTGGCTAATTTTTTAATTTGTATTTTTAGGAGGGTCAGTGTTTCACCATGTTGGCCAGGCTGGTCCCGAACTCCCGGCTTCAAGTGCTGGGTTTACAGGTGTGAGCCACTGCGCCTGGCCTACCTGATAAATATTTATTAGATAAACATACTCAGGCCGGGCGCGGTGGCTCAAGCCTGTAATCCCAGCACTTTGGGAGGCTGAGGCGGGTGGATCACGAGGTCAAGAGATCGAGACCATCCTGGTCAACATGGTGAAACCCCGTCTCTACTAA